TAAGTTTTTATTCTTAATGGAAGTCTTATATTCTTAATGAACTACATTCGGTCATAAATTACTTGTGTTGTCAATAGACTAAGTAGATATACCCATAACACAAATAACAAATATTGGAATGCTCTTAGACATTTATTGAATTATCTTAAGGGTACGATGACTTGGGGTCTACAATTTGTTGGTTATTCAACAGTCCTTAAGCGATATTTTGGTGCCAACTGAGTATTTAACAATGATGAGATCAGCTCTACCAGTAGCTATATGCTCACTTTGAATGAGTAGCAATCTCGTGAAAGTTTGTTAAACAAACATGTATTGCTCGGTTCGCCATAAAATCAAAATTTATAGTTATTGATTTAGTCGGATACAAAGTTAAATAGTTTAAGAATCTACTTGCAGATATGTAACAACAACACTCATTATTAAATAGATGTATATACATACTAGGTTAGGTTGACTAATCTATGTTATTAATTATATATTATTATGTACGTAATGTGAGCATATACATATATATATATATATATTATGCGTTTATATCTATATATTATATGATATATATAGGCTAAACTTAAATAAAACATTAGTTTTTATTCAATTTTTTGTTTACAAGCCCAAATTAGAAGACCCAAACAACACATCAAATCAAAACCAATACAAATAACCCAAACGGTGGAGGCCTAAACGAGGAGAAGCCCGCATGTCCAAAGGTGAAGAAACCCTAGCTGTTCTAGTGATCCATGCGCTGCTCATCATCAACCGCTAGATTAAGTGGAAATCCAACTGTTTAGAAAAGGCACTAAATTTATGTGATGTTTATTTTTACTGTATAAAATCTATAAAATTTTTATGTTTACTATACACAAATCACACGTAGACATTAGATTTCACAAACCGTTTATTTTTTAAAAGATAAAAATTCTTTTAACGTCTACGCAATGTCTTCTTAGTACAGACATGATTTTATGTATTCAAAGGTCTTTAAATATCTTCAAAAAAATTAAAATTATTTAAATCTATTTTAAAATTTATTTTAAAATATAAATTGAATTATTTTAAATATAGATTGATTTATTTTAAAATATAAAAAATTTTATTTTAAAATATGAAAAATTTTATTTTAAAATATAAATTAATTTATTTTTAAAAAAGTATAATTATAATTATATGAATTATTTAAATTTCAATATTATAAAACTAAAATTATTTAAATTTTAATATTATAAAACTATTTTAAATTAAAAAATCAATTTATTTATATTTCAGTTTATTTTAACAGTCTGAAAACATTAAAAAATAAATAGTCTTCTTCGATTTCAAACTTTTAATTCATCTCTTCTACTACATATGCCTATAAATATTATCCACAAACTGTAAATTATTTACCTATGCAAAAACAAACACTACGTTAGATTTTTTATCCTAAAAACTTCTTATGTGTCCCCAAGGATATCAACCGTCAGATCCAAAAGCGATCAACGGCTCATATCGCACCCGTGTTCTCTGCCAATGGTCCCAAAACGGCCTGAGATAACAGAGAATGAAAGGCTTGGTAGAGTCCTTTCGGACATCTTTGTATGAGGATCTTACAAAACAAAAATAGGAGATTTTCCATTAATGTGCTTCTCTCAACCATCGGATGGAGCTACGCATCATAAATCAACGGGGGAAAGGAGAGGTTCCTCCTTTCCCCTCGTCCAACATGCAAGCAAAGAAAAATGAAAAAAAAATTAAAAGAGAGACATTTTTCTAGGGGTTATATATATACAAAAAAACAAAACGAAAGAGGGGGGGGGATCGAAAACCAAAAAAATACCCAAAAACGAAAAGCTCATCTTTTCTCTTCAAAGGATGTTGTTGCTTCTTCGTCGGAGCATGGAATATCCCTTCATCCATCGAAGGTAAACCCTTACCCTTTAAACTATAGGCTCATTTTGTGGTTCGGTTTAGGGGCAGCGTTCGAAGAAAGAGATATTCGGGGAGTGTTCTCCCACCATCGCCGCTGTTTTGTGGCGGATGTGGTGGTTTGCTTTGTCTCGTATGAAGAAGAGTAGAGAGAAGAGGAGGGGGGTTTAGAAGGAGAAGTGGCAGCAGAGGGTTAAAACAAAATGAATTAGGTTTAGATTAAAATCTAAATAAGGTTTTATTAAAACATTCAAAGTGTCGTGTTTAGAGTTAGGTTAATCCATGTGTTTTTGGGGTTTATTTCTGTAAGGACTCTGCCCATTTTTTAATCAATACATATCAGTCTTCATTTTGAGGTTTTTAAATTTATGAATCTAGTCCCCTTAGTTTTCGTCGCATTTTATTTTAGTCATTGATGCCTTTTTGCTTCTGTTTTCCTTTCTTATACATTTGAAGTCTTTTTCTAATAATGTTCATTTTCGTCCTATAGGATACTGGTTATATTTCAATTTTAGTGCCTGTTCTCTTATGATATTTGTATTCTGATCCTTGCCTTTTGTCATGGTTGTTATTATGATTCTATAGTTACTGTTTTTTTGTCATTTTGTTATGCCTTTCTAATATATGTATGTGCATATATGGTATTTTCCATATATACGATATATATATATATATATATATATATTTTAACCTGCCGTGGTGCTTAAAGTATTATATTATATTTTATATTTACTTAATAACTTTGTTAAAGAATTTTAAGTATATTATATAGCCAAAGCTTAGGTATTTATTAATTATTTAGAATATACTTTTAATACCATGCATGTAAACGTGCTTGTTTGTACATATAGACGCTGTACCCTTTTAATTAATATGTGTGATACCCTCATAAAATATAATTTGATTCGGTCAAATAATTGGATTAAGATAATACTCTTTTATTTTAGGATTGTTGTGAAACAACAGTCTTAAGGCATAAAAAAATCATTTCCAATAATTTTAAAACGAAAGGGTATCCCGCTAAATGAAACCTTAAAAAATGATTACACCTAAAATTTGGGGAACAAGAGAAAAAAAAATGTTCATTTATTTAAATTTATCGAGAAAATACCATTAGAACGTATAAAAGTTCCGATCTCAATGTCTTTAAATAATCGAATATCCTTCTTCTTTCTAAAATGATTGATAATTTGAAACTAAATTGTTTTTTTTTTACCTCCGTTCATGCATTTGAAATTTGGACTAATAACGGATTTTTGAATGGAATGGTAATGTTTCTTCGTTTCGATTGGAAATGAATTGGTTGCTTTAAGGCATAAGAGACATTTTCTTTTTAATAGGAAATGATTAAATATCACTATTTTCCTTTTCTAAATTCAATGACTAATATTTTTTATGTGGTTAAAAAATAATCTTAAATTAAATTAAATTTGAATTTGTAGGTTTCATTGCAAAGACAACGAAATAATCGACTAGGTACCGATTTAGGGCGTTGTGGGGGGTGTTAATCATTCTCTGCACGTAACCGATTCTCGAACTCAATTTTTGGTACGCAGACCTTAACATGTTGTTTCAACAATATTAAAAATTAAATTTTTATTAAAATGACAATATTTTTTTGTGTTCAATCACACCCTAATCAAAAATTGATGATGACTCCTCGAACCATTTTTGTTTTTGAAGGGAACCCAAATTAGTCGATGCGAGCTCTTAAACCCCTAATTAATTTTTAGATTCGTTTCGACGTTAGTTCTAGATACATTAATTAATACTTAAGCGGGTAATTTCTTATTACTCTTTTCTCATTTTCAAAATCACTTTTCGGACAACTCTACTTATTTGCGTTAGCGAGGGATTGTGTGCAATGCAAATGCAATATATCCCGTTTTGACTAGTCAAATATTTTAGTTTAAATTTTAAACGTGTGATTGTGGTAAAATAAGATAATTCAAAATATCTTTTTAAAATTTAAGTTTTAAATGTGTGAAACCCTAGAAGATTTTATTGGGATTTTTTTTATCCCTCTTCTAGATGATTTTACCCCTACCTTTTGTACATAAAAAAAAAAGAAGACCGTTGCTCATTTATATTCACTCATCCATCTTTCATTCTCTTTAGTAGTTGTTTTCCAAGTTCTGATTATCCTTTCACCATTAAAGAAAGAGCAATCAATTGAATTTTAATTTTCTTTTTTGGATGTACAATTTAGAAAGGATTGTGTTGACATTGAGGGATAACTGTCCGCTTTTGCGATTACATCAGTTGACGCAAATTCATTTCTAAGATAATGGACAACCACGACATGGTATCATCTATTTATTTATTTTATTATCTTGTACTCATTTGTGTTAATCCGCCTTATTTATCGTATTTATTTCTTACAATTGATTAGATAAACTCTATGTATAAATTATATTGTATTGGAATATTGGTTTTATCATATACTTCTCGTATAAATTTTTATTGCTTTCTAGATAATATAATAATACTAATTATCAAACAAACTGTTCTCCCGTATCTATTTAACATACATATTTTTTCAAAAAAAGAAATAAATTATTTCTTGTTATACTTTTTTTTAAACAACTATAAACTATAAATATTCTAAATTTATTTTCCCATCATATGATATTTCAACAAGCAAAAATAAAAAAGGGGGACAAGCTAATATATTCTAAATTTGTTCTCCAAGTAGAACTTGTCGCTGAACGGCCATTTGGATTAGCACTACACTTCACCCTTTTTTATATTATTTTTCCCCAAAGATTATTTATTTATTTTCCCAATCCATTTCTTTCTAACTTTTGTATGAAATTAAATCTAATGTTTTTATACACGTCAGAATCCAGAATCTCAAGAAAAAAAAAACATTTCTTTTAATCACTTGAACCATTCAATGGGTTTAATTTTTTTAGCATTTTATTAAGCAAGTCATAAATAATGGAGTTTATGGATTAAGATTTGGGCTTCAAAATTAATAAATACCATTCTAAAAAAATAATGAAACAATTTAACATGCCTACAACATAATTCTACACGTTGATTTCTAAACTGGGACAAGTGTTCCCACTTTATCAAGTACATCAAGTGTGACACTAAGTCGAAGAAAAACTTGTTGACATCTCACTAGAACATGAAGAGTCCCAAGGCATGCTTGGCACGAGCATTGGCAAAGGCAAACTCAAGGGAAATCCAACGGATCGTATACCATCCCACTGATCATCGTTATTGATCATCATGTTCCCTTGCATCTCATGTGGCAATGCCCCTGAGGAGAAGCCGCCATTGCAATGATCTTGTGACACAACGGTATTACTAATACTCAAGGCCCTATCGTAATCTCCGAGCATGGAAGATGACATGTTTAGCAACATGGAAGTAACGTCGACTGTCGGTTTCGCAGAAGGTGAGTTTTGATCGAGAGGTGCAAAAACAAGGCTAGTTAGGTCTCCGTTGGACATGGGATGTACTTGAGGTAGCTTCTCTTTAGCCATCGGGTTGATGGGCTTGTAAGGGAAAAAATCTAAAGGAGAAAACGCAGCGGAACATGTCTGTAGTAGTACATCAGTGTTACTGTTTGAACCTCTACTAACCATATCGGACATTGATGATGTTTCAGGTATCGGAGAAACCCAGGAATGAAAAAGAGCTCTTTGAGCTGTGGAGTTGTTTTTCTTGAATATCCTGCATATCGCCCATGAATCCTGCAACAGTTTCCATAATAACAGTAAAAAAAAAAAGAGGCAGAAAAAGTTTGAAAGAAAGTGGATTGTCGTTATAGATTGTTTACATTGGCAGGAATGCATTTATCAAGGTATCTCTTTGGTGGTGCAGAGTCGGTGAGAGAAGGTAACCTAAACTCATGCATCATCCAATCAGTTTTCACCCCTTGGGCTGCTCTACCTTTGTAGAAAACAAGAGATTTCTTCAAGCCAATGCACTTGGTGGTGCCTTCCGAGGAATAGATGGGGCGGTCGGTCCCTGTGGCTTTCCAAAATCCAGCTCCGGTTACTCGGTTCGGCCTTGCACTATTCCTGTATTTTCTGTCCCTGGGACAGTAGAAATACCACGCTCTCTCCCCTGTAGCTGCCAGTTCTTCATAGAAAAACAAACAAGTCTCAGTTTCCAATCATCTGCTATTAAAGATTTAATCCAGAGTTCTAGTTTTACAGTAAAACATGTATGGGTTGACTTACTTGGAAGATCCCATGGATCATATTTATAGATGTCTACTTGCTTAATCAGCTCTATTGAGAGAGTACGCTGCTGAATCTTCCTTTTCAGATAAAACCCAACAAGCTCTTCATCTGTTGGATGAAACCTGAACCCTGGTAGCATGATTTCTTCCATTTTATCACTTTCACTTTTTCTCTCATCCATTTCTTTTGCCTAAACAAAATCAAGAATATGGTTATGAAAATAATCCCAAACTTCTTCTTTCTTTTTTCGTCTTTGATTCAAGCTACTGGAACTATGTTAAAAACCCTAGAGGATAGACTGAACAGCAAGAAACTTCCTGACACAAGAACAGCTTGGCAATGAAGCAAACCCTAAGAAACAAGCAAGCTTTAAATAAAAAGAGATGTTGAACTCAAAGACACCGAGTTGAGAGTTAAGTCTCACTTAATTTCAAGCCAATGTATGCTACCTGAGGAGGGATCTACCCCCGAAGGATCAGCCGCTTTTTTTGGTGGCTTTTTAAAGGACTGTGTGTTTTGCGAGGATCGGTTGGGTCACCGAAGAAGCGATTGGGAAATGCTTCTAATTTATTAGGGTAAACTACATCATGACCCATTTAATTAAGGAAGGATTCTAAACTGATAATCGATCTTCTAATTTTGTCAATTAGAGCAATCAACTATTTAAATGATGTCAATCAAGTCATTAATCATTAACATTTAATGGAAAATGTGACGTGACAGTTAAAAAATTTGATATAATTACACGTTTGGTTTGTGTTACATATATATTCTATTATTTTGGTCATAATTTTAATTTAATTCAATAGATTTTAGCTTGATGCTTATACATTTGGTCTCTGTTATTTATATATTTAACGGACAATGTGATGTGTCATCATCTGATTAAATGATCAATTTGATAAAATATGCAAGCAACAAGGATCAAATATGTTTTGATCGGTATCATTTAAATAGTTAAATGCTCTGATTGATAAAATTAAAAGATCGATAGTTAGATTAAAATCTCTCTATAGTTAAATGGTCATGGATGTAGTTTATCCAATTTACTATTATAAGAACAACTACCAAGAAATGAAACCCAAGTCAGGAAAATGGGTTTTATTCTACAAGAGAACTCTTATTTTCTTACTTGTACCTTAATAAAACCCATTTTGAAGCTTTGTTTAATGGAAGAATCTCAAGGAAGCTACAAAATCAGCAGCATCTTGGGATACTAACATTGCTAGTAACTTGCAGTTTTTTAATGCAAATCTCATGATACCTTGGCTATCCAATTTCAAGTCATGACAAAAAGAAACCCTAGAATATCATACATTATTATGGTTTCTGAGTTTGAATTATATTATATGGAAACATGGACCCGAACCAACTCCCAAAAGCTTAAATATATAAATATATATTTCGACTGTAAAAAATCCAACTCCAGTGTTTAGTATTAATCTAATGATGTTGCTTTTCCTCCGAATCCGAAAATTCAGCTTCTATTCCATTCCCCAGAGCTTCTATTCCACTGACTTGGTCAGATTTATAATATATACACATTTGTATCTGTGAAGAGATAGCATTTAACAAGCAGTTAATGAACATGTGATGATTTAATGCACAAATTAACATGGACCACAGCCCTGACTGGGAACATTGACTAAAGTAAAGGGTATATATCTTTGTAGACCACTTTTGTGAAAATTAAAATACATCTGGTTTTCGGAGTTAATTACAAATTCAAACTGCTAAAAACCAAATCAATTGAATTTCTTCTATTTAGTTTTGTGGCTAGTTAATTACAAGTGGTAATATATGTCATTGGTGTTTAAACTCAAAACCTTTAGGGATAACAATCATCTCTTTAATCACTAAAATCACTTGATTCGTACATGCAATTATATTTGAGTATATTAAGTTGAATTATTAATTGTTATGCAATTTATTGTATCCCATTAAAGGTCCTATGCAGAAATCATTCTCGTACTTCACAATCATCGGAGGATCTTGGAACACCTCTGAACCTTCGAGATCTCGAAACTTCGAAAGACTTAGAGAAAATATCTTTAAGAGAAGAATCTCAAAAATCTAACATCTCTCAAGAAGTCGTGACTAGCTGATATGACTTTAGACAGGCCCATGTCACCTACTACAACAAAATCCATCACCATTTGATCGAATCAACTTAGCCTGCTAGTTTACGGTAGCCATTATAACCTTACAACTGACACCTATGCTAACAAGTTCCTATAAAACCTCTCAACTAAGACCAAAAGACGGGATATGGCCTATATAAACCACCTTACCTTAACTCTTCTTTGCTCTACCTCCTCATGGAAACAGAGTTCATCCACACTGACCAACAACCGATTCTCCACCAACTGTAAAAGACAAGTAATGTCTCAATGTCTTCCACCTCTGTCCCTACCAATATCTACGCCAATATATCTACAACTTTGTACGGTAATGTCGACACTGTTTTTCGCCCGTGCGGGGAAAGACCGATACCGACTCGGGGGTTTTCTCTTTGAAAATCGTTTCGAAATGTGAGGAGTCGCCACCAATCATTTAAGGTGTGATTGGAACACCATAAAAATCGGGTGATTTTAATAAAACATTTTATTTAAATAAAATACTGAGTTTAGGGGTCTGTAAAAATCCAGAAATCAGGTTCGGGAGTCAGTTAAGCGTGGGGAAGGATTAACACCCCCACAAGCGCCCAAAAATTGATACCTAGTCGATTACCCTATATTTAAAATCGAAAATTTTGAGTTCGATCTTTATTTAATTTAAAAATCATGAAGGATGCAGAGTTTGAAAATGATATTCGTTTATCGAGACCGATATCATTTGCCCCCGAGCGTAATTGCGGGAGATGAGCTATTGTGCTTAATAAGCGAACATTGCCTCGTTTAGAAAACATGATGTGGTTTTGGAAAGGATGTCGACTTATTTAGGGAATTACCAGTAGTCACCCCCTGAGCATGATCATGGAGGATATACTATTAACTCCTTAATAAGTGAACAATGCCTTAAGTTTTAAAAACAATGCAATCAAGCAAAATTTTATTTAATCCTAATTATACTAAAAATAAATTAAGGCTTTTTCTAACTTACGGTGACAAAATATGAAAATTAAAGAACCTAGGGGTTAAATCTAAAAACGTAGGCTCTAATATTAGTCCTATTTGGTTTTAATTATTGTTGAATAGAATAACCGAGATGGTCCCTCGAGCATTTTCGCGAGGGACAACTCGAATTATCCCCTAAATTAAAAGAATAGCTTGAAATCCAACTAAAAGAGGAGACTCTATTTAACCTATTTAATTATATCAGTATTAAAAGTCTAATCGAAGTTCGAGGATTAAATGTCAAAGATCTAAAAATAACAAGTTCTAAAAGATCTAAAAGCTTAGGACCTAATGAAAGAAACTAGATTTAGAAATTAAAATTTAATTGAAGGATAAAAATGTGGAAGTAAAGGAAACATGGATTGAGCAAAGAAATCATTAACAAATAAAATACCTCTAATTAACTTAATAAGCAACACATAATATGATAATAAAAATATATATTTATTAAAGTCGATGTATGTATTTTTAAAATCATAAAAAAAGGAATAAATGCAATAAACATTTTACCACAATAAACAAAAAAAAACTTAACAAATAATTTTAAAATTTAATTCTTTATACATATAAATAAACACGTATAATAATATGGGAAAGTAATTAAAATTTAAGTAGAATGTATAAATATATTTAATGCATGTATAGTAATAATGTAAATATGTATACTAACAATTAGTAATATATAGAAAATATTAAAGGGATCAAAATAGGCTTATACAAAGGTAAGTTAATGCAAATATATTAAAATGGAAAGTAAATTTAAAGTAATTATATGTAAATAAAAGGAAAAGTGAAATAAAGGGAAAAAACTAAACGCTATTTGAATGTATAAAACAAAACTGAGAGTAAATAACCTTTGAATTGTTGTGATTGATTCGAAAACGAGTTACAATTTTTCAGCCCCCTCTATATTGTTGTGTGCTTTTGGGGTTTTATAGTACCTATTTTTTACATATAAAATAAGTTGATATTTTAGTGTTGGTGTAGAGTATGGGCGTAGGTATGGGGGCTGGTCTTGGTATGCTCAATTGTGGTGCTTCATGTGGGGGAAAGCATGGGCACAAGATGGATTGAACATGGCAGCATGTTTTTCTTGTGATAAAATATTGGTGCTTACAGCTGTCCCTCTTTGTTTATTGTTGTGAAACGGGAATAGAGCAAAGATATAAAGCACCAATTTTATCTTGGCCTCTTCTTGCCACATTGTGAACTCTTCAATGAGAATGTTAATTCTTTTCTTTCTGTGAAATCGTCGAGTCTCTGTTGCAAATGATGTCATCTTGCTTTGTTCTCTCGGCTGAGTCTCCATCTTCAGTTATTCAAGCTACGAGTTCTTCTCATCATGATCTTTCTACTGGAAATGTTGATCCCTTAAGTGAGATGTTGCTAATTCAACTCCATATGTGATGAATGAAAAGGTCGATCCACCTCTTTCTGTGATGGAATCAAAACGAGATGTGTGTGCTGATCTACCTCCTTCTATGATAGAATTGAGCTAAAAGTTGACGCTGATCCAACTCCTTCTACGATGGATTTGAACGAAAATAAAAATGTCGATCCACCTTCTTATGTGATGGAATCAAACGAGATGTTGTTGCTGATCTACATCCTTCTGCGATGGATTTAAGCGAAAATAATAATGTCGATCCACCTCTTTCTGTCATAGAATCGAGCTAAAAGTTGACGCTAATCCAACTCATTTTGCGATGGATTTGAGCGAAAATAAAAATATTGATCTATCTCCTTCTGTGATGGAATCGAACGAGATATCAGTGCTGATCTACCTCATTCTGTGATAGAATCGAGCAAAAAGTTGATGCTGATCCAACTCCTTATGCAATGTGTTGAGTTAATCGATCGACGAATATGGCCAAGAAGGGGGGTGAATTGGCAATTAAAATTTTGGTGGAAGCTTTTGCAGAAAATTGAAAGTAATTGCACATCGATTTAGAGTGGTTCGACTTTCTCAACCAAAGTCTACGTCCACTACCTTAGCTATCCACACTAAGGATTTTCCACAAATTCACTAATTTGTCTTTCTTTTGAGGACAAAGAGTAACCTTACAAACCCTCAAGAATTATACC